AGACGAGAGCTTTCAGCTGGCTATACATAACGGCCTTATATATACGTAGGGTATATTCGAAAATAACAGATGGTTACAGAAATACGCAGAGGTTCCAAGTGATAGTAATTGAAGGATAAGAAAAAGAAATGACCAGGGACATCATGACATCAACAGAAAATGTTGGCTGTGTGTTGTAAAGGAGCAAACAGCCAAAACAAACGACAGGGTCGTGTTATAAGAAAATGAACGTTTGAGTTGACTCATTAATGGGTCATGCCCTCACGATTAGTAAAATTTTGTTTATACGGCAGGGTCTGAATCAATCTCACAATAATAATTTGAGGGAGACTTGTACAGTCATCTTGCAGCGCCTGGCCCAGTTCTGTTAACGTAGCGTTGGCTTTTGACGTCGGCACAAAGTCTACCGTTCATGTCCCTGACATGCTCTGTGGGGGAAAGGTCAGGACTCATGGCTGGCCATTGCATTCTAGTTGCTGTTGGAGGTAGTCCGTTACGAAACGTGCACAGTGGGCACGAGCGTTATTGTCTTAAAACAATAAAACATGGACCATCGGCACGGCACAATTGTTGGCGCCAGTATGTTGTCTTAGTAATATCGTCGTCAAGTGTCCCTTACAATATGCATCGGCGTTCTGGCAGTCATAGTAATCTCACCACATATTACAGACACCTCCCCCTCCCCCCGACCTGTCATTATGCCTTACGGTGACGTTCGTTAGGACGCCCCACCTGGACACTTCCACGCCTATCCAGAATGGCTAGAGTGAATCTTGACACATCTGAATACATTACCCGATACCGTCGGCGATTCCCACTACGCTAGATAGCTTTGGCGTCTGGATAGAATGTGTCAGTTTGTTAAGGGTGGTACAACACGTGGTCGCCGAGCATGCAGGTCAGCTTCATGCAGATTATCTCTAGTCAGTATTGGAGTTCCGGTGGCCTGGCGCCAGTGAAGAGCGATTTGATTGGTAGTTTGGACTCGATGTCTTCAAGCCTGGTTTCTGATTAAGCGGTCCTGGCCTGGTGTTGTTGACCTGGGGCGTCCTGTGCGGGACCGATCATCAACATTTTGTATCAGCAGAAACCTGTTCAAAACTCTGCAAATCTTAAAAATCTCAATATGGTTTACTTTCTATTATAATGCTTCCGGGAAAGTTGAATTATTCTTAATGACAAAATGTTACAAGACAGTGATGATGAGCTGTCTCGGGAAAAATCAATGGACATCAATCATTCTTCAAAAGCACTCTGATAAGGTACTTCGACGTTACCAAGGCTGATTAGAACCTGCCACTGTGATGTTAATCTGTAATCAACATTAGATAAAATTGACTGCGTGGATCTTTGTAACAGAGAGGTGTATTGGATATTATACAATGACAATTCGAGTTTCAGATCTGTTGTGAATACAATTTGGTTATATTTTGTTCAGTTGTGTGATGTATATGGTTGATGGTTAGATTCAGAATTGTTTTCGGATGCAACTCCATAAAGGGTCACATTCAGGGCGAAACAACGATTCGAATACATTTATCATCGGTTCCAGACACGCCTAAGGGAAGCAACTCTGCACAGCCTTAAAACACTGTTCATCGTTATGATATGCATCATGTGGTGTATTTGTTCTAAATGATGTATTTGATATATCTGGTAAATAACCTCCCCTATCTATGACTCAAAATGACGTATTTGACAAATCTAGTTGTGTATAAAATACACGCCTTCCCCCACTTATCGCTTTATATGACGTATTTGAAACAATTAGTACATGTTTACTCATCCACCAATTGCTCTAAATGATGTATTTGATACATCTAGCTACATATTAACCTCCTCCACATATCGCTTTATAAGATGTTTCCGATCCATAAAGTACATTACCTCCCCTACCTATTGCTATAAATGATGTTTCTGACACACCCATAACATATCCCAGGCTCTTGTATATTATTGATATAATGTATTGATACAATATTTGTTTTATTAGAATTTATAACTTTGCCCAATTTTCTACCAGAATAATGCAAAAAATATATCCAGTACAAGCGTTCATATTATACACGGGGTGCATGGATTCCTATCAGAATTGTAACGGGCAATTGGAGTCACATACTAAAAAATAATGCATAACTACCTACTTTCTACAAATAATAATGTACGTCGACAGTTGAACAAACACCTGATACCATTCAGGTAAGAAGAAGTTCAAATGAACATCTGAAATTTATGCCAGAGCTGTATGCTAAAACTGAACAGGAGAAGTGTAATACTGCAAAAGTGTTGGGTATTGATATGAGCCCATCGGGGAGTGTTCTGAAGCTTGAATTGGTGCTTTGGACTTAGGGGAACGAGTGACCTGAATCTAGGCTGAATGCACTCTAGAGAGTCATTTTAAGGGATTGATTTGAGCCTGCTAAATCGGAATGAAAATAGTAAAATTGCTCACCATTGATACATGTATACACATAGAAGGTTGGATTTGGAGTGCATTGCTTTAAACTGTCCTTATGAATTTAAAGTAAATATACGAACAGTCACACACCATAAAGTGTTATACACGCTCATTTGAAACCAATTTCTTTTCGGAAACTTCAGCAAACCTAAATATATTTTCCGCTTCAGAATATTCACCAGACAGTAGTTGTGATCGATGTGCGGAGTATGTATTAGATTCATTGGTAAATGAACAGTTTAGTATGTCTCATTGTATGTGTTTAATGTGGCTTGAAATGCCGTGTACCGCAGTGCACTATCTACAATATCAAGTCAGTATAAAGCCGCGAAGAATATAGGATCAGATCACACTGTGAAAAATTCGTATCGAACAAGAAGAAGATCCATTGCGACTTTATATCAGGCTAGTTATATTACTTTCGGCAAGCGTGGATGCGAGTAATGCCACGTCATTATAATGTAAGGTTAATGCCTGACCTCATGGTACATTATTGACAAGCAAATGTTGTGCTGATGCACTCGCCATTACAATCATGTTAGGTAATGTTTGAACTCCCGAGAGTTTTTTGGGGTAAAGTCCTGCCCCATACTGAAGCATATTATGTAGCAATGTGGTATCACCTTGGGCAAGTGACTTTGTTGAAATATGCTTTGTTAACCCAGTATTACATGCCTGGGTAACCGGTAGGATGGGATGGTAATGTGACTGTTTACCTTCTGATGCCTCACAGGCAGCTTGGGTTGTATAATACTCTAGGATTTTTATTATAATTATGGTGCAATAACACAATAAGTGACACAGAGACAACGATTCAATTTAACACAAGTCACTTAGACCTAGCCTGGAAATGGTTAGCGTGTGACTGTACACATTCTACTCGTATATATCTAAACCAGCATACGTGCACGTGCACGGTCATGGTCGCGTCAGTGAGAAATACTGAAAGCTACAATTTACAGATTAGTACCACTATATGATAATACAACAATACACTGCAAACCCCGTCTTTTAATATTAAAGGAGCTCTTCTGTAGACCTAACACGGCTTTCTTAAATGTATTTCATGATTTTTAATAGTTTTTTTACTCAGTTCTCAAGAGTGAAGAGTCAGCATAAATTCAATGAAAGTGACGAAGCATATGATTTCAATAGCGTGTAAAATGTCAAACAAAATCAAATTGACTTGATTGTGTTAAATCGATTGCAGTATTTCAGTCGTTTGAAGGCCTTTACAACGTAAACCCTCATTCAATGTCCAAAAAGGTTGAGATAATGTGTTATGCACTTGACCACTGATTGATTTAGATGCCTCACAAAAATAACTTTAGACTTAAAAAGAATTGCCAAATAAAAATCCTGTCATTAAGAACAGCCCGTTAGGTCTTATCAATGTTATTGATATAACGAAATGTTTTCCTAAATTACTTTCCAATTCCACTAAATCTTTTCAAGATCTTCTTTTATCCCAAATGAAAAATGGAATAAACCTGTATGTGTGAAATGAAATGTTGGATAATATAAGTTTGAATATGCACACACTGTCATTACTAATGTGACGTCTTCTATAACAATAAATATGAATCAACATCTATACCTTTTTTATCACGAGCACGGCTGTGTCCATAGGAGGATCCTGGCATGACTAAAGGATATAACTACATGTATGCACAAAGAATTCAAACGCAACCGACAACTGACCACCGTTTCCCCATAGCACTAACATGCATTGATCGTTTGAAAACCACACACGCACAGTTCGGTAGCAGTACATTCTTCCTGCCAGCCGGTGAAAACGTTTTGGAACAAAATTAAAATTCCATATTACCTTAATGTTACATTAAATTGAATTGTCATATTCCTTATCAACGTCTCAATCATATATCGCGGTCCCACCCACACACATGCTGCGAATAAATATCTCACAATGTGTAAATATAATGTATGATTAGATAAGTATGATTCTCATATCCCATATCCTTTCGTGTTCAGATATCTAGCAAACCCACCTGATGTGTGTGATGAAATTACTATAGTGTGGCATAAAGCAATTATTTCAATAGCAGATCTTCACTGAACTACACACATGACCATAACACGATTACAAACATGCGGAAATGAAAGAATGATAAGAATCTATTTCAAGATATGTGGTAAAGAATGTTCCGTCCGCTACCAGCTTGGCGTCCGAAATAATAACACTTTACATTCTATGTCCATACTCGCCTGTTGTGTGTCTACTGAGATATGGGACGCCGTCATATAAGTGAAATATGAACGCGACGTTAAGCCCTATTTCACCTCACCGTACCTCACTGAGATATGACATGGGTACTCAAATATGTGACTTAGCATTCCAGAGAAGTGGTTAGTCACCACTGTCCACATAGAATGGATGGCATGCCACCTGTTCTCGCCCAATGACCTTCTCCGGATACCGTCAGGTGGCTGCCATTGACGTGGCTTAATCAATACCCCTCCTACAATGATTCGCGCATCCTTCAGCTCTAGCATTGATTAAACCATTAGTAAGACAGGCGGGGGCACTTGCCCGACTGCTGCTTGCAGAACTATGGAAGTATATTCCTCGCAAGCAATCTGTAAACGTAAAGTAAATTTATTGTAAATAGTCATCAGCAAGGGAGCCCAACCTCTAAACATATTCACACAGGCCATGGAATAGATTTATTGATGTGGGCATATGTTTCTACAGGCTCAAACAATGATGGCATTCACTTGGCAGAAAGTGCCAGAAAGTTTACTGTTATATTTTAACTGGAACTTTTGTGTTGCTCTCGGCGGAAGTGTGTAACAAGCTGAGGTGTGATTGGATGGTTTGACCGCCCATTGATTAGCTTGACAATAAACTGGAGGTGGACAACGGTGAGATTGTGAATTACCGTCAGCAAGACCAGCAGTAGCAATGATCCCGCCAACATATCGACTTTCGTCACTCGAGCTTAGCCTATGAGAGTCTTTTAGAGGAGCAGGCGACATCAGTGCCGACCACACACGTTCAGAAGTCAGTGACGGAACTTTCTGCAGTGAGTAGCAGAACTCCTTGCCAGTGCTTGATACAGTCGATAACCTTGTCTCTATTAATTACACGATGCTAGCACCAGTGGGCTGATATCTAATTACGAACCTTATCATCCAAAGTGGTCTTTGTTTTATTCATCCATAGATTCTTTTTAGCAGATGGATTTATGCCTCGCTGTGATGCTAAGCCACTGAAAGACTGTTTTCACTAAAGATTGGTATTTTTCATTAAACCTGCCTGGACAGAGGTGTTTGCTCAAATTGCAAATTAGTGGTATATGCACTCTGATCTTTCTGTTTTATTTCTATTTCCTTTTTTGTGATGTAATGGAGAAGGCAACTTTTTCGATAATATGATTTCAATGTGGATATAAGAGGGGGCGATCGTTAATCATTGATCTGTTAATCAAACACAAGAACTCGATGTCTCTCGGAAAATTAATGATGCATTGAAAACTGACAATTTACACTGAAAACGTTCTCAACAGGAAGCTCTCGGGGCTGTCGATTTAAGGATTTCAAACTTTTCTTTGTGATCAAACGGATTTGGGATTCATTATCAACATATCCACAGGATGGTCGAATCCAACAACACAGAAGACACGGAGGAAATTTTGTTGATAAGATTCGGGGTATGGAACCATACAAGTCACTCAAACCAAACGACTGTAGGACCCCTATCCAACCCTACCCCGCCGGGTCTGCCGATGGTGGCCCCATCCTACATAGCCCTATTCTCGTCCTTGTTCTGTGTGGTTGGCACGGTGGGAATCCTTGGGAACCTAATGGTTGTATACATCATCTTGGCAGACAGGAAGATGAGAAAATCTGTTACGAATATGCTCATCCTGAACCTTGCTCTGGCGGACTCTCTGATCATGCTATGTGGCATCCCTGAGATTGTTCTGTTTATGATCAACAAAGGTTGGCTTCTTGGACTGGTGATGTGTAAGTTCCAGAGGACTGTTCTTGTATGTGCGCTGTACTCATCGGTGCTTACCTTGGTGGCGGTCTGCATTGAAAGGTATGTTGTGCAGATACATAAAACAAATATAATCTGTTGGAATGGGTACATAAAAGTACCATTTGCACAGTTTCCTTAAACATTCAAACACTCGGGATAACCTCATCAGCTAAATATTTACTTTATTTCAGGTACTACATAACTAACAGTTGAACATATAATCATATAGGTTGTTTTAGTATCATCATTTTATGTTATCTTTTGACAAGGAATCTGAACACTTCATCACATACAAAGCTATGCTCCATAACGTTCATACATATTCATACATAAAGCAATGTTTTCCAGCATTTATAGTCTCCAACGCATTCACCATACAATTATTATTAAACCGTGTACAAAATCACTATCTCTAGATATAGAACACAAAATTCACACTAAATTCAACAGTTCTTGTTCTGACATCAAATTAAATGAAACATTTGAAACATATTTATGTGATGAAGTATTCCCCCAGTTCATTGCCATAGTGTATGTACATCATCTTATTGGATCACGACTCATCTTTTAGGTGTGTTGCACAGCATTAAGTGCTAACGTAATGGACACCTACAAACTAATGCCTTAATCTAATCACGTATGGTGGTCATCCCAGACAAGACCGTCTCTGGTACGGTCAAAGGACGTTTCACGTTCCCAGACACGGGATCGCTGAGAATGACATGACCGATTACTTCAACATAGTTTAGAGGTCATAGTATAATCTCTGGAAATGTTTGCATTTACTAAAATGATATTATCCTTCCGAAAAACAGATCCACTTGGTCTCAAGGATTGTAATGACAGTTACCAAAAAAGGAATTGCTTCCGTGGCCATAATAGAGCACAGGTTAACTTTGAAACGCAGAATATAGAAATAGTGCATTTTAGAAAATCCCTAACGTAGGTAGTTATAAACATCCTCTTTGAAACTGATATCCTTGTTACCAGTATTGATGCCTCAATTACGGTATACGTGCATTTTGATAATGTTAAGTTTATTACCGTATAAAGGCCACAGGCCCAATCACATTATACTCATAATACCTCCACTAATTACTGTTTTGCATCGATATTATGTCACGTAGCATATCTGGCTTCACATGTTTTACTGTGTTTCGTTGGCAGTCATTTTGTAACAGTCTGATATTCATGTTTCTATTGTTCTTACGAGTACGTAAATATGCCATAGGTTATCTGTGCTCTTTGTTCAAGTGACCTGGTTTGTTTTACTCCGCTTTCATCAATATTCATACACATTCACAGCTGGGGAATCCAAGGATGGAACTCACGCATTGTATCCACTAGGGGGATCGGACCCGGATCTCCGGTGTCATGAACAACTGCTTTAACCACTCGTCTTTAAGGGTGGAAATCGACAAATTAGATTGTTTTGATCCCCCATGTTGAATTTGTGAGAAAATGTATAACGTTTGGTAAATACACGGGACTTCTGAACACGGTAATGTTCAAAGTAAAGACACAAACAGTTTCAAGATCATGCCTAGTAATCAACTTAATTTGAGTAGTATGACCTCCTCGGGCCAATTCAACACCAAAAATCAACCAATTTCTGAGTTAACATTACTCTGTAATTCAGCATTAATATAATATATGAAAAAAACCCCCACATGTTTATAGTTTTCACAATCCTCTGACTTCAATGGATTTCACAAGAAGAGTCACGGACATCCGAAGTCAACTGAGTATTAGTAGTCACAGGGGGGACAAGGGTTGATATGTACTTAGCAGGAGACAAAATTGGATTGAGTGAGCATACCTTGTTCGTTGATTGTTTCCTGGACTTTGTTGATAATATCAACCACTGGTTTGTCTGGCCCCGATTCAATAATTTCGAGGCCGCCTTGATATAGCTCGAATATCACTGAGACCGCCGCCGAGATACACAACAAAATAACACCAAAGGTAGTTGTTCTGTTGTAATGGCTCCTTTTGGGAAAAGTACCCGAACTTCATAAGAAACGTGAATTTTCCATGGGGTAAGATGCCACACTAAGCTGGCCTTATCAGCAACAGATGGTTAGGTGATGTAGGTCACTTTAACATGTAGTCCTGGTAGCGACCTCTGTGATGACATGACCTTGAGATGATCACATTTATTGCAGCAAGGTAACACAACACGTTAAATAAAAAAATAGATGTAGACAGAATAACTGAAAAGTGGACTAATTACATAACAGCAGAAACGTTTTTGATGTTTTATGAGTAGAGGCAAAAAAGGGTCTATTTGAAAAGGGCAAACAAGCCGATTGTGCCTAGTCAATATCAAATTGCTACATCTAAAAGGTAGAACGTTTATGTGTTTCCAAGAAAAGTTGAAACAGAAAGCATTAACTGTTTTCATCAATAAGCACCTATGGAGTGGGTATATATCGGTCGATAAAATTGGTAACAAAAAACACATTGCACTTAACAGAAAGTGTGTGTGTGAAGGGTCGTTTAGGGGCATATTGACATGAACTTATCAAGGTAGACTACATCCTGTAAGTTGATCTTGTTTGTCCCTTGCCCGTAACGGTAAAACGGTTCTGAAAATGACAGTTAATTTGCACCCAACCTTTACAACTTGCAGATTATAGAGACCTCTTAGTGGGCAGATGTCACGAAAGGAATGTTACTCTATAGGAATATAATACATTTCTATTCGTTCTCTTATCTTTGGGGACAGCCACTGGAATAATTGGATACTATGTCAAAAGCAATACGTGAGTATTGAAGCTGATTTGGATCAAGTCGAATGTTACCACGCAGATTTATTATCATGAAATTCCCAACGGTACGTAAACAGACAGGAATATATGAATTATAAGTGATTAGTTGCCAGTAAGATTTGGATACGTGGAATTAACATCAACTGTTTTAGTATGGTTTTAATCTGATGGATATGATAAACACATTAGACCTATTTCATAAGCCCGGAAAACAATATTTACAAAAGAAGCGCCAAGCCCCTTTCCATATTCATAAGAAATATCTGACAAAAGCAGAGTCGATTTACGATTCTTACTACGTCAGCCTTTGGTGTTTACATTTCCCAACCTTAGAGATACAATCGAGCATGCTCTTTCTACCAAGATTTCAAAGAGCGTCATACGACTCTTTGGTCAAAAGTTGTTTTATCAAGGTTACAAAATTCAAGGTCTCTGTAAAGATTTCAAAACGTTTTATGGTGGACACATGTATGACATTTCCAAGTTTGACGCATCAGTGCCAAAAATGATGTCCGATGCAATTCCCTATTTTGACATGTACCATATGTTCCTTTGTATTTTCCCGGTGAATACTTGACTTGCATTTGCATGTGTTTGTAACGGCTGCCACTGGTGGTGCAAGATACGCTCACCTTTTCGCGAACACCTGGTATCATCACTATTTGATAGTGATTCATAAACACATGCTCATGATATAGTCGGAATCGTACAATCGACTCTCCTTTTAGGAGAGATGTTTATTGAATATAGAAAGGGTTTTGTCGCTTTTATTACTATATCATGAGCATATGTTTATGTAGCACTATCGGATCACACCAAGTCTATTTTGTTTCCATAGGTTTGATAAAGATGAGAATTATGTCACTCTATGTGACAATCTAATATTGTTCAATACCAATATGAATACCAATACTGCATGGCGTGTGTAATTTAGTTTATACCTATTCAACAACCGTATTAATGCATTAAGTAATCATATTTTTTTATTTCCCTTAATTGCACTCTAGGTAGTATTTATGTCAATCGGAGTGCATTGCACGGGAAATAAGAATATGTATTCTGATTACGCCATAGGTTGTCGGCGCCATGCAAACGATTACAAATACAAAAAGGGAATGCTGTGTTTCACATGGCGATCTGAAATATCAACTTAATTCTTATGCGCCTAACGCCATAGTCCTATATTGAGCAAAACGCGACTATTATGAAGAATGCAGTATGTTCACCTGTTAAATAAAATGCGTTAATACGGCTTAATGTTGAATAGGTATTAACTAAATTACACACGACATACAGTATTGTTATTCATATTGGTATTGCACATTATTAGATTGTCTTAGAATGTTTACCACAGGACAATTATATATGACACAACCTCGCTTAGGATAATGAGCGAGTTTCGACATTAATGTAAACATTTGTTTTCCACACGAATCATACCCATTCGAAATAATTGGAAATTGTGCATTTCCATTAATATCAATGAATACAATTTCGAATGTAAGGAAATGGGCATTTGAACCTAGTAGTTATTAGGATGCGTTCATATTTTTTATAACGACTGGCAGTTCTTCTTATCGGCCTCGGGGAAATGCATAGCAGACATATTATCGATATTTATTTTTACCAGTCAATTAATTGAAGCTGACATTGTTGAACTCACGTCCGTATTGCAGAGATTTATGACTGAAGGATTCCAATTTACTTTGACAGGCTCACGATGACATATTGTAACTTGGGTAAACATTCAACATCGTTCAAGGTTTACGTGATAATGATCAAAAACAAAGTGAATGGGTGAGTTTTAACGCCGCTTTGAGCAGTATTCCAGTTGTATCACGCTGTGGGAGGAACGCCTGAAGTGATGCAGGTCATGGACATTGACCACTGATGAAACCCACGAGCATTGGTATGATGCTGACAAACAAACATAATCCGGGCGAACCGGGATTCGAACCCACGATCATAACATTCTGGCGTGCCCAAGGGACGCAATTCTTCATCTTGAATTGTGGTACCTTAGACGACTGGCCACCCGTGCCCACGTGAAAACTAAGTAGTGCAATAGAAGTATGTATTAACAAAGTTGCCTTTTGTCGCTTACGCTGGTGGAACAGACAATATTATTTGCATAGTGAACCCATCGTGACGGAGTATAACAAGTTGATAATTATATGTTATGTCATGTTTGAGGTAACCCAGTTCAATTTGATTGATTTCAACTTCATATGCCTATGTTCAAAATAGAATAAAACATCCGTATCGATGAAGCATTTGTAGCTCATGGTA